TCGCTTGAGCACAGGAATTGGAGGTTGCTGTGAGCTGTGATGTCAGGGCACTCTACCCAGGGGGACAGCTTGAGGCTCTGTCTCAAAAAAAAAAAAAAGAAAAGATTTTAATATAGACTCAGCGCCTGTAGCTCAAGCGGCTAGGGCGCCAGCCACATAGATCAGAGCTGGCAGGTTTGAATACAGCCCAGGCCCGCCAAACAACATTGACAACTATAACCAAAAAATAGCCGGGCATTGTGGTGGCTGCCTGTAGTCCCAGCTACTTGGGAAGCTGAGGCAAGAGAATCGCTTAAGCCCATGAATTTGAGGTTGCTGTGAGATGTGACACCATGGCACTCTACTCAGGGCATCAGCTTAAGCCTCTGTTTCAAAAAAAAAAAAAAAAAAAAAAAAATTTTTTTAAATACAGTATGTAAAGTATATTTATGATGTTTTATTTAAAAGCTTCACGAATCCAAGATTGTTACATTGCTTAGGGCTGAGATGTATGAACATGAAAATTTTTTTGTTTGTGTGCTACTAAATATTTTACATTTTTGATCTTTAAGTAATGGGGTATATTTTCTTTCTGTGCTTATGATATCCTAGATATTAGCCTTGGTTAGTAGCTTCTTCCAAGTGGTGTATGTTAAGGTTTAGTTGGAAAAACTGGCTTCTTTGATGGGTCTCAGAATTTTGGTGAGTTGGGATAGCGTAATAGTGTTTTTCATTCAACAGATAATTGAGTGCCTTCTGTATGCTAGACATTACACATGTGTTGCGAATAATGTCTTAGCACAGTGCCTCCAAAGGTGCAGTGTGGGGAGACAGTCAGATGATACTGTGATGAGAGCTGTAGTAGAGCTGTGACAAGGTGCTGTGGGAACACAAGATTTGTTACACGTTCATTCTTAATTTCTTTGGCCACTTTAATTAAATAATTGACTTTTGTGGCACTTTTGAGTGGCTGTGCTCAAGGGCATTGTTATGTATTGAAGTTTACACATGCAAGTGTAAATTCTTTGATCTAAATGAAGTAGCTTTAAATAGAAGTGAGCAGTACATTTGAGTATTAAATTGATCTCTGGTTCGTTTGATTATCTAATTATGACCTCTGGTGTGTCTTTTAACTTGGGGATTTAGCATAAAGCTAATATTTAGATCTGTCTGTTCATATGGTCCCCCAATGAGTTAGTAAGTTTGTATTCAATTTGTATGTAGTTTAAACTCATTGTCAGATTGTATGTAGTTTAACCTCACTGGTCTTTGTTAGTATATTTTCCTTTCATTCTGTTTTTGATTCATGATGGCTAATAATCGTATATTCTTTTGATGGAGTACAGAATGAGTGATGGGAATCAGGGCATTCTGAATTTTGTTGCTTAGACCCAACTTAAAATCATGTAACCAAGGTGTCAGAAAACATCAATACAGTAACCTATTTAATAGGAAGTGCTATAGAAGTAAGTTTAGGTGGGCATGGTGTCTCATACCTGTGTAATCCTAGCACTCTTGGAGGCTGAGGCGGGTAGATTGCTTGAGCTCAGGAGGTCAAGACCAGCCTGAGCAAGAGTGAGACTCCATCTCTACTAAATAGTAAAAACAAGGTAGGCATTATGGTGGATGCCTGTAGTCCCAGCTACTGGGGAGGCTGGGGCAAGAGGATCACTTGAGCCCAAGGGTTTGAGGTTGCCATGAGCTATGATGATGCCACGGCACTCTAGCCTGGGTGACAAGAGTGAGACTGTTCTCCAAATACATAAATAAATGAATGAATAAAAATAGGGCGGCACTTGTGGCTCAGTGAGTAGGGCACCGGCCCCATATACCGAGGGTGGTGGGTTCAAACCTGGCCCCGGCCAAACTGCAACAAAAAAATAGCTGGACGTTGTGGCGGGTGCCTGTAGTCCCAGCTACTCAGGAGGCTGAGGTAAGAGAATCACCTAAGCCCCAAGAGCTGGAGGTTGCTGTGAGCTGTGACGCCACAACACTCTACTGAGGGCGATAAGGTGAGACTCTGTCTCTAAAATAAATAAATAAAAATTGAAGTTCTTCAAACAGAAAAGTTTATTTGCACCCTTAAATATATGCTATTTTGATATTTCTAGTTGCGATAACTATATTGATGACAATAAAATGTTATTCAGGACTAGCAGGGAATGTTTTTTTCCCCACAGCAAAAAAACTTGAAATAAAGAAAATGAGTAAATTATTCTGAGACTGGCAAAGGTGCCAGCCACATACACCTAAGGTGGCGGGTTTGAATCCAGCCCAGCCCACCAAACAACAATGATGGCTGCAACCAAAAAATAGCCAGGCGTTGTGGCGGGTGCCTGTGGTCCCAGCTACTTGGGAGGCTGAGGCAGGAGACTCGCTTGAGCCCAGGAGTGGGAGGTTGCTGTGAGCTGTGATGTCAGGCACTCTACCCAGGGGGATAGCTTGAGGCTCTGTCTCAAAAAAAAAAAAATTATTCTGTGATTTATAGAGCTGGAAAAAGAAAATATTTTGTAGGATTTCTTTTGCCAGCAGGACCATCATTTGGGATGGAGAGGGAGCAATGATACTGGGAGAAAGGGTGCTTTTGGAAAAACTTTTCCTCCTGGCTCTGGATTCTCATTATGGATCATTTCCCAATGAGGATATCGCTGTGTTGAGACAGCTTTCAGTTTTCAAAGATCAGGAGAGATTTTAGCCCTTACAGCTCCAAATGGGAGAGCAGAGTGACTTCCCTGTGATAGTGCCATCTAGTGGGACTGGTGCAGCCTCATGGACTGTCTCTTGAGTTTCTCCTAACCGGTCATAACATTTTTAGCACTTTTTGATGTCCATAGAAGGAAGAAAGTCAGTGCCACTGTGGTTTCTTTCCTAGTGGACAAGAGTGTTATAAGTAGCTGCAGTCTTTGAACTTTCTGGTTCTTGCAGATCTTCTGTCATATTACTTCGAGTTTTTTACACCTGCAGATTAGATAGACATCACAGAACTTAGGCTAAAACAAAACGGCCAAATCTTTACATTTAATACTTAACATTTAAGTTGCTCATTACTTAAATTTCGGTTTTTTATTTTTAATTTCTAATTTTTTTGCATAGTAGAAATTTTAATTTTCTTACATAGTGTGTTTATACATGTGTGCATTTAATTTCTTTTTCTGTTACGTGTTTGCTCAATAAGTCATTTGTTTAGGGCTTTGGGATGCACTATGTGGTTTTCATTAGATTGATGTTTTTTGTCATTGTTCAAGATTGGAAAAAGTAATGTAATGTGTACTGAGAAGTCTATAGTGGGCTTATTCTAGTCTAGCTGCCAGTTGTTTTTCTTCTTCTTTTATCTTTTTCAGTCTCTATCACCCTGGGTTAGAGTGCTGTGATGTCATAGCTCACAGCAATCTCAAACTCTCTCTTGCCTCAGCTTCCTGAGTAGCTGTGACTATAGGTGGCTGCCACAAGGCCTGGCTAATTTTTACAGACAGGGTCTTACTCTTGCACAGGCTGGTCTTGAACACCTAAGCTCAAGCAATATACCGGCCTCAGCTTCCCAGAGTGCTGGAATTATAAGTGTGAGCCACTATTCCTGGCCTTTTTGCTTCTTTACTTGAGGAAAAGTCATACCCTGTTGCCCAGGTTAGAGTGCCATGGCATCAGCCTAGCTCACAGCAACCAACCTCAAACATCTGGGTTCAGGAAATCCTCCTCCCTCAGCCTTCAGAGTAGCTTCAACTACAGACATCCACCATGACAGTGGGCTAATTTTTCTATTTTTGATAGAGGTGGGGTCTCGTTCTTGCTCAGGCTGGAGTGCATCTGTGCCGGCATAGCTCACTGTAACCTCAAACTCCTAGATGAGCTGCCACTTTTTATGAGGACCTGAACCTCTTAGCAGTTTTTGTGTTTTTTTTTGAGACAGATTCTCAAGCTGTTGCCTTGGGTAGAGTGCTATGGCATCACAGCTCACAGCAACCTCCAGCTCTTGGGCTTAGGTGATTCTCCTGCCCCAGCCTCCCAAGTAGCTGCAATTACAGTCATGAGCCACTGTGCCTGGCCTCTTCCGCTTCTTTTTAAGATCTCTTTCTTTAAGCACTGGACAGTTTGCTTCTAGTAATGTGAAACTGACTATCTTAAGTTCATGT